TCACGATCTAAACTACGCGATTCTTATACGTGATATGTGATATTTATAAATTTACGATTTTTTTTTTATTTTTAGAAATTAACTTTTTATCTCTTTTTATACTGTATGTAACTAGGACATTTTAAATAATCTAGTAATTTTGTCAACTTAAATGTAAATCTAGCTTCGTAATTAGAATTCGAATTTGGGATTTATTGTGCTTTGCAAAAAGATGTGGCCTTTGCAGATCACAATGCCGCATGAGAATCGGAGTTTCTATAGATTTTAAGAATTTTACCGATTTAAAGAAATACAGTACGTGTAAATGTGTAACCGCTCGAAAATATAAAATGAGTGCGTGAGAGTGAAAACCTGGAAACCGATCATAGTAAATCATTAAATCAGTATCCAGGTTTTCACTCTCACGCACTCAAATAATAGTAACAGACAATCTAAAAGCTCAGAAATTTTCTCCGATTATTATCACAAAAATCATGTGGCCACATCTTGCAAAATAATTTAAGACCGTACATCCAATTAAAAATCACAGATTTACAAATAATATCGGTTTAGCAGCGATCGATAAGAATCTAAATCACGATCCGAAATAAATTTTGATTGGTATTAGATTACATATAGAGCGCACATCCTTAGATCTGTTATTCAAGTTCTTTGACCAATCCGAGCAAAACTCTCTGCTCTGGATATCTGAATCTATCTGGATTTAAAGATAAATTCGGATAGTCGGATTAAAGATCGAAGCTCTATTTCCAATATTACATGCGTCAATGGGGATGTTCTAAACGCGCGTCAATGGGGATTTTCTATATCAAACATAGATGATATATATGATCAAATTTTTTTATAGAAAAACATTCTTGAACCAGCAAACCCACACAATAAAATTATAGTTGTCAGGTTTATTTATTCTAACGTGCTTTTTAAAGTAACAAAGTCTTTCTTTTTAATTAAATTTTTGTGCAAAATGATTGCTCTTGATATATTTTTAATAAAAATATCAAAAACGTAACTTTGAATTTTTGTCTGTTATTATGCAATGATCAAAAAATTCATCATTTTGCACGGAAATTGAGTCCTCCGCTACGTTCCAAACAATAAAAATAATTAAAAAAAATGACATAAAGAACATGCTAAATTGAACTTGACAAATAAAATTTATTTACATAGGTTTGTTGGTTCAAAATTTATTGTAGTTTGAATTTTATATGTTTTTGCTATTACACTAAATTAAGGGATCATTAGACCGATATAGAACACCCCAATGTGTCAAGGACGTTATGCATTATTATTTTTTTAGAATACCGGTAATTGGTCAGGTGGGTCAACAAAAACCTGATTATAATCGATTAAAATCTAATGCTAATAATTGATTAACATCACCACCGTCGATTAAATACGATAGAGATTTTTATTATTGGATTAATTAATGTCGGGGATGATGCTGAAATTTGGGGTCTTAATTTGAAAATATAAAACCTACTAAAATCCATCTATACTATGTTATTATAAACACTAACCCTAAATTCTAATCAAACTATAAAAAAAAAGCTGATCAAAACGCCCCAATAATAATCGATTAGTTTCGATTAGTCCTGATCCGTTGGGAATTAGCGGAAACTTCGTTTCCGCTTATTCACATACGGTCAGGTATTATTAATTGTTGGGATGATGCTGAAATCGGATGATGCTGAAATTTTGATTATTTATACTTGAAATCGATATATATGTGTATTGATTATAATCGATTTTGATTTAAATTAATTATTAATGCTACCAGCGATAAAATCAATAGACTAACTATTTGTAGTTGTTTATAATCAGGGTTTATAATTTTCTGATGAAACCTGCATTCTAAGTATAAAAAGCTTGTCACACTACAGTTTTCACACGGACATTTTAGGATCGACTTCAAGATTATCCTAAGCTTATCCCGGACAAAATTCAAATACATGTGAAAGCATTCATACGATTGGATAATTTATCTATTATTTCTGTATTTGATTAATCAATACAGTACAGTATACAGGTATATTACATATTATTATATGCACAGACTCAACTTAAGAATTAGATCGGACTTTTACCAGTCATAGAAAGACTTTCATATGATTGGCTGTTTAAATCAATTTTTAATTTTATATTTTTTACAGTTTAAAGTACTTTTTTTTTAAAAAAAAACAAACTATATACAAAGAATAAATTAAAAAAAAAAAAAAAGCATATCATTAGGGCGACTATTTACACTGCCCTAAATTTATGACGTGTTATGATAAATATTTAAAGTGAGGCAAATCATTTGACTATAAGTATATTTCTAAAAAGAAATGAATTTTAACAGTAAAAGAAGATGGGTTTTAAGGTGGGAAGATGGGTTTGACGTGTTAATTAGATTAGTTTTATTGTTTTGGGGGTTCAGTTTAATAAATGCGTCATATGGTTGACGTATATAACATGTAATAATTAAATAGTAATTCGGGATGCCCAATTCCAAAAATGCCCGAATGTAGAAAGTTTTATTAGGACTCCACCATTAAGAATAATCAACATCACCACGGATATTCTATAGAATCATTAATCTTTTAATAGCGGAGTTGCGATGCTTGCGGAGTTTGCACACCTATTCTATAGAACAGCCTACTTTTTAAAATTTTTTTTTTTTTTAAAAAAAAGTACATTAAACTGAATAAAAAATATAAAATTTAAACAACAATCATATGAAAGTCTTTCTATGATTTTAACAGCCCTACTTCTAAGAAATGTGTATTTAAAAAATTTTTATGTATATATTCCTTAAGATCGCGTTATTTAGGCCGGGGGGCTAAAAAACGATGATACTTAATTTTCACATTTAATAATTTATTAATGATCAATTTTTTTTAATGGATCACGACGCATGACATTTTAATTTTTAGCACTTCTACTAATACTGTAATCGTCAAGACGCATCATAGTGAAATTACTATTGTTACACAAAATAAAAAATTGGGCAAAACGCGAATGTTCATTTACAAGTAACTACAGTTAGACAAGCTTTAATTCTTTCGTAACAATTTTTTAAAAATAATTGACCACTATAGGTATGTTTTGATTGACGGTGTTCATTTATTCACCTGCGCGTTATTTTGAAATAAAGGGTCAATTTTTTTGAACACGATATACGAATATTAGGTCCATTAAGTCATGTGAGATGCGCGTTATTTCGGAACACACATGATATTTTTAAGGGTGCAATGTTCGAAATCAATTATTATAAATCGCACCAGTGGTGATGGGTAGGTCATTAGATAGGAACACTGAATACTATTATCATTGCGTACTTAAAATGAAGTGACATAGATTACAGGTACCTCAATCAACAATGACCCGAGTTTCAATTATGAGGTTCATAAACCTGCAACAAGATTTTAGAATATATAAGTCAGATCGATGATTCTAAGCCATAACCTAACCAAAATTTTATCTCTATTTTAGTATTTCAGATTTGGCTGATCGATTTATTTATTTAATTACTTGTTCTTTTGCCGTGGGAAGATTGAATGATTAAATCAGTTTCTGTTTAAAGTACATTATTGACTATAGCTAAAATAGGTCAAATACTATGATGATTACTATTATGTACAAAATCGCGTATCGGTATTTTGCGGATCACTTCTTCTTTGTCAACTTTATTTATTACTTTCCCACCTCATTGTTCTTTTCTTTTGTCGTTCTTATTTGTATGATTATTATATGGATTGTAGAAACTAACTAAATTTGTATGGTTAAATCTATGTCACATGGCATTCGGCCGTTAACCTGTGGTAGTTGCACTTTTTGCTAGTGATTCTAACGAGTTCGCCAGGGCGACCACCAAAAGTACGGGCACATGAGAAGACGCCACAGCCACTGCATAATTTCTTAGAATCGTCTACGTAGCTCTTGCATGCAGCTGTGAAAAGATATGGCTGTGGCGATAATTCAGATCATGTGACCCGTACTTTAACCGGTTAACCAATTTATCGCGTTATATGTGCGATAATATTTCGAATCATTTTATACCGAACATATTATATTCGGTATGACAAATATATTAGCTATATATGCAAATCTAATTAGATTCAGATGCAGCGAGAGCGCGTTATTTTGAGGTCAAATATGCAATTTTCAGAAAGGTGGGAATTTCCAAATAACGCATATGTTCATTATTACGCGAAATACGTCATGTTCTTTTTTTTTTTTGATGTATCATTAGATATCAAAAAGGACAATACAACAGTTAGTCGGTTAGAATTATTACTTTAGTTCCAATATGAATAAAAGTCTCAAGTTATTTCGATAACAAAAAAAATTCCTCGTGTTTCAAGGTTATGCCTGTATTAAATTCTTAGATGGGAAGAATATTTTTTGAGACACTCTTCCATTACCACTTGCCGACACATCATCTTCTGGGGTATTCAAGGTCACTTCAGCTACTCAAAAAATATATTGATTAGTTTACCTCTGCTCACCTGTCAATTGGCGCCTACTAAAGAAATTTGATCGGTTTCAAGATTATAGTACTGTGCCGTTAATATATATTAAAAAAGTATAACTTGAATTTGAGTTTTTATTTGCATTACTTCGTGATCAATCTAATCGTATCAATAAAATAAAATAACTGCATTTTAATTATAATTCTTTATATATAGTAATTAAGTTTATTAGAAACATGTTTGCGTAATTCGAAGATTTAGAAACCTAATATATTTTATACAGTATATATGATTTTAAATTAAATGCAAATCTAATAGTTAAGAACATGAGCTAAAACTAAGTATAAATGACTAAAATTGCTATAAAATGCAATATCCTGAATAGCTCATTTTATGTTAAAAAAAACAAACGTAACACCACACACCACACTAAATAAAAAAAAATTATAATTACATATCAACTATAAATACACGTACCCAATTGCCGAGATAAAATACAAAAATATCCTACAAAACATATCATGAGGGTCTTTTTTTATAAAATACATGTTATAATACACTTGGTAATTTCATTGAAATAGAGTTTTGTGCATATGAAATTGGTGATGAAGGGGGTGTGCATCCTATGGGAGACATTTGAGACATTTCATCCGCAGCCGATGATTGTGGATTATCACCGTATGTTCTTGTCCATTTGTCTATTTCAAAAAAAAAAACATATAAGGTATAATGACTATGATTATAAAAAAAGGTTAGTTTATATTTATATTACCTGGTATCGCAAAAAAATATTGTTCTATTGAATCTCGGAATCTATCTTTATATTGATCTGGTGGTATTACCGTAACTTCTTTTGCGTTACGGCCAAGCGTTTTTCCACGGGATTCAATCTTTTTATACAAAGTATATTCTCCAATAAAATCTGAATATATATTAATAAATGCCATTAGCATAACACTATATGACTAGTTAATTGCTTAAACTCAATTTAAAAAAAACACTTACCAACTATTCCTGCAATCATTTCCTTCTTTGTATCATCAATTCCAAGGAGTAATGAATAATCCATAATATTTGCCTCACACAAGAATTGTGTATCATTGGCTATAGCCTCTCTAAGAAGTTTTTTGCCATAAGAATATGTCAAAAATTTTGATTTATACCGACCTACGTGATTTCATTGAATATCCGATTAAATTTGATGTTATAGAATGTAAAACCAAGTTTGTATATAATCTTACCATCTACCCAATCCCCATCCCATAATGTAGCGTCCTCTAGCTGTTCTTTTGTATGACGTTCTTGTATCCCTTTCAAGTCAAATTTCTGCAAATATATAATGGCTATTATTTATTGTGCATATTTTTACAATATCTATTCTTGTGTAAGGCACAATTACATACTCTTGTTATGGCTTTTTCAAAGAATAATTGTTCCATTACAAGAACATCCATTTTCATTATAAGATTATTCTTTTTAAGGTCTTTAATTTTTATGCTATAAAATCCAAATATTTTTGCTAATATAGATGGTTTCTTTATATATAAAAAAAATTGATTAAGTGAATGATGAAAACTTGATAACGAATTAAGAAATTTACATACATTCGTGGACCTATTCATATATTCGAAATATTTTGGAGAAAATTGCATTAAGGCTTCTCTTTCCGAAATTTTCCAAGATTTAACCATCTGCTTTATAACTAATCGGTCATCTATTTACAGACAAAATAATGTAAATTTATATATAAATCTATTGTCAAGATTAATTAATAACAATAAAATGTTCAAAGAAATTCAACATTACCTTGTGTTTTAAAAAATGTGCTAGAACTTTTACCTCCGCTTACTTTCCATGAAGAACATCTAGACAATGAATCCACATAAATATCCTCGATTCCACATCTACGTCGTAAATAGTCGAACTGTTCTGCAAAGTACACTGTGCATGTGATTCGTTTGTTTCCACGAACAGCCCCTAACAAAATTACAAACAAGTTGATAAATAAAAGTTGAGAACAGAGGCACTAAGTAAAATATAAATTGACAAATACTATGTTTTATATGTGGGCTATCTTGTTCTTTTTGATTTTTTCTGTTCCATGAAAGAGGAGCGGATCTATCATCTCTAATCCTTGTGTATTCCTTTCCACTAAACTCATCTGGAGAGTCGGTAACACTAATCTCGGGTTTCGCAATTTTTACCTCTTTTACCGTATCATGTTCCTGTTTTTCATTAATAGCTTGTTTTTCATTTTCGACATCTTTGACATTTTCTGGATCATTATTATTGCCTCCAAAAAGATTTGGAAACATTCCATTTCGTTGAGATGCGCCTTTTTCTGTATCATTCTCAGAATCTTTCTTTTTATCTTTACTGCTTAAAGATAAATTAAATGGCTTCATCGATCCAAGAGACTCGATGCTATAAGAGATTTTATCACTAAATCCATAATCCATGACTTTGCGTTTTGTTTTGACGGAATATTCATCTACATAATAAAACTTGTCACCATCTACATCAGACTCATTTGAAATACTGTTTTTTGTTGAGACATTTGTTGATGAAGGATTCTTTAATGAATTAAGTAATAAGGAAAAGGATGCTGATGGTGCTGGTGCATGATACTCCGAAACAGGTGTTACAGGGGCTGATTGCGATGATAATCGTTTGCTATCAGCACGCAACTTTGATAATTCATTTAAGTATCCTTGAGAACTAATAAAAATGAAATGAATGAAATTCATCTATAAAGATGTTAAAAACAAATATTTAACCGCAAGCCACCATATACCTTAGTGTAAAAGCAATAATAGAGCTTGGTTCATCTTCCCTAATTATAACAGGTGACTCAGGAAAAACATAGTATTTGTCAGAACTATTCAAATAAATACGTCTTAGTATTTAATAAATATGAATGCTATTAAATAAATAAAAAAGAAGTATGCCTTGAATATTCCGGTTCTAACCACTCAATTTCACTGAATTTTGCTAGATCTGACTCGACAAGATTTTCCTTTTGCCATTGCAACAATCGCTTTTTTGTATTCTTAATCTGATCAACTAGACTTCGTCGGACATTATTTAGAATTGTTGCATTTGTTTTTTTCAGTAGATCATAGAGTTTGAATTCATCATCATAAAAACTCCTTGTAAGCTCATCTAATGTTTGAATTGCATGAATAGTTTTTTCGGACATGGAGGCTTCAATATTGCCATTGGTCTGTTCAACATGCAAAGATCGAAGACGTTCTTCCAGTAAAGTAATATGCCGTTTTATTGAAAGATAAAAATAGGTAATCTCCAATCTCGTTTCATTATGCAGCCTTTTTGCATCTTCATCATCAATTGCAAAAAGTTGATTGACTTCTTTTATCGAAGATGCAGCTTGCTTATCCAGAGATATTTGAAATTTTGGCAATCGCATTTCAAAAAGGTCTACATGCTCATATTCTACTTTTACAACAAACTTCCCTCTACGAAAACACCTAAGCAATGGATAACGCAATTCAACGTGTGGACATAAATTTTTGCAGGTGAAATCTTCATTATAATATAATAATTCGAGATATTTGGCAAAGGAATAGAAGTATGTTGATCGCGACATAATAAATACAGAGGATTTTTCAGAACATAGCTTGCATTGAGTCCACATAAAAATTTGATTAGTGAAGGCTTTCAATTTAGGATCTGGCGATTCTTCAACGACAAGACTTATTCTTCCATCATTATGTGTATATGTGGATTTATGGTCAATTCCTCGGTGTTCACATGTTTTATATTCACATGTCTCATAAGCTTTGTCACAAATCTCATCAATAATTTCACCAAGAGATTTATCGATGTTAGAATTAATCTTATTATAATAGTCCATTGTAATAATCTCATGATTGTGGCACAGGACAGGTGAATCTGGTGACCAAAACCTGGCATATGAGCACGATATTGACTGATGTTTAAATACGCCTCTAAGTGTATTGCTATTCTTAGTCATCAAGTAGGAAAGACCAGTTTTGAAGTCTAGAGATACCTGTCCAGACCTGAATAATGGTGCATAAGTCCGATATTTTTCAATAGAATCCCAAACGTTATTAAAATTTATGCTTATATTAGTCTCGTTATTCGAACGACTGTCAGTCTCTTCCTCCTCTAATCTCATCAACAAATGAGGAGGTGGAAATTTTACTCCAGGAGATACAGACAAAATAGATGTTTCCATTTGAGAGATTACTTTAGCAAAATTGTGTGTTGTTAACATTATTGTATCATCATCATAGTCAATAATAGAAAGATTGGAATCCTTGGTAAACGATGAAGACCTGCTTATTGTAGACCACCTAACTAGAGATGATCCTTGTTTCTCATGTTTCTCATACTTTTCACGCTTCTCGCGTTTTTCATAGGATTTAATCATTTGCTCTTTAGTATTTTGCAAATTGGTATGTTTCATTAACCATCCCAATAATGATGATTTTGAACGACGTCTAGAGGTTCGTATTGTGTTTTTAACCTCTTCAGCATCCTGGATATCTTCAACTTCATCGCGGGCAATAGAATGATCCCGATACAAACACATTTCCAATTTTAGATTACACACAACGAAAACCATAAGTTCAATTATTTTGTCTACCCAGTTCCTCTTAGCGCCTTTAAGAACGATGGTACCACCTATCCATCGTTTTTGTTGCTCTTTTGAAGGATCCAGCCCTATATAGCAAATCCATATAATTAATTCAAACTATAATTATAACATTGAAAATTTAAAATTTTATACCTTCGTCTAATTCATGTTTAAATAAAGGTGTGCCTTCATAATGATTAAAAATAAACCGCGAATCTGTTGGTTTGCCACTATCATCCTTTTTTATATTGATAACGAATTTTTCAAGAGGTTTGTAATTATAATCTGATCCGGAATTTAATCCTAATACAGTTTTTTCGGTAGCAGGATTGACGGAAGAAGTCGGACTTTGTGGTAAACCATCGACAACTCTAGTTACAATTCCAGAAATATCAAGTATAATTCCCAGAATTACTGATTCCCAAGGATCGATAGATAAATTGCAATTATTTAATGTTTGCCTTAAAAGTTTTCGAATGTGTCCAAGAGAACGACTATCTAACAATAGGTCGTTAGATTGTGGTATTGGAGGAAGGTTAGCCGAATTTAGTTTTGCCTTTTTTTTAATCTCCTGTGAATCTCCATTTTCCGTTGGAAGAGCTGGAAGAGGTTTATGAGAAGGTGCGAAGGGTTTTAGGTGAGTAGACATTTTTTGAGAAATATAAAAGATAGTTTTTAATAAAAAATTGATCAATCCAGCCAACAATAAATAGAACGTTAAAGTCATAACGATAAAGAAACTTATGATCTACTTCATGCTTTTTACGGATGCATACCGATACCGATAAGCATTAATGTGGATCATAACACATGAACCAAATTTGTCAGGTCATTTGTTGATAATATCACGTGGAACCTCTCACCAAAACCTGGGGCATTGTTTAACAAAGGAAGGCGGCGTATGTATTTGAAAAATTAGATCCTATTTATAATTGAGTTCTTGTCCTACCGTTATACACAATGTTTAAATAAGATATCGATTGATTATCAGGGAAAATTGTCAAATACGTTAATGCAAAAGCGGTTTTTCTCAATCAGACAACAATCAAATACAGAAATAAAATGCAAATTGTTGATAGGTTGTACAAGTTCTATTTGTTTATTATTAAAAATACAATGTCACAGGATTCGAGTTACAATGAATTCTCAAGGTCGTGTTTCTGCCTTTGTTCTTACTGCTAATGATTTTTAAATAAAATTCGACGTCAGGTGGAATTTTGCATTCTTTGCATTCTAATTGGTCAACTTATAACTTTCAAATCACATGAATCCTAGACCGTATCGTTTTCTTTTTTTTCTGGTGACCTGGTTGACGAACTTCTTCTTCAGAAGGCCCTTGTTATGTGCAATCTTTTGTTAGGAAAATGATCTCCGAGGCTTCGATTTTGTGAATAAAGATTAATCCAATTTGAATGAACTTTTTTTTTTTATTTTGTAGAGCTAAATAAGCTCTACAAAATAAAAAAGTTCATTCAAATTGGATTAATTTTTTTCACAAAATCAACATAGCCTCGGAGGTATGGTTTGTTGCCTCAAGTTACCGTTTTCTTAGGTCTAGCCAAAATTGAGCTACCTATAATTGAGAGTCCCCGATCCGGTAAATAATATATCCATCAATGAATATCCGAATATTCGGATAAAAAAGTATCATTTTGCCTATTACAGTACATTCGATGAATAGTCAGTAATAAATTATATATCGTTACTATTTATCTAAAATAACGCCCGGGCGTTACTTAGAGCATGCAATTTTAAGGGATAATTAATTTAGTCGAGGATTTTTTATTCGAATAAAAATTATGGTTCACATCCGCTAAATTAGTCATTTGACTCTTTAAATTGCATGCCCCGAAATAACGCCCGGGGCGCTATTCTAGGTAAATACGGTAATAGAGGATTTTTTTTTGAATGAATATCGAATTCATGATCAATAGATTGTATATGAATGACGCCACGCCAAGAGTTCGGGCTTCAGGTAATTCATGCACGTGACTCTTATGTAATTTTGTAACAATTATTGTCGCGGCTGAAGCTTGAAACGGCTGAAGCTTGAAATTTTAATTATTTTAATATCGATATGAAATTTTCAGAAATTTTTGGGGTGCATTTTTTTAACTTTGTTTTTAATAGATTAGGGTTTAGGGTTAGTTTTGATAATAAATGATAATAAAAGAGTATAAGTGGATTTTGGTAAGGTTTATATTCCTAAATCGAGGTCCCTGATTTCAAGCTTCAGCCGTTTCAAGCTTCAGCCACGACAATTATTATGTCCGGGAAATATACGCGGACAAGTTTATATACAAAGAAAATAATAGTATATATTTGACATAGTGAGTTTAGCCGCTTGGGAAACAACTCGGATTCCTTAATTTTACATTTTAAAATTAAACTAATGAGTACATAATGGTACTTATTTGATTTTAATTTCGTGCAAATAATAGATCTATTACATATTTAAAAATATATTAAAGAAATTTACCCAATAACATTAGGGATATCTTGCAATATAGATGACTCCATTCATGTATATTATTATTAATCAATTGATTTAAAATAGATGTCGCCTATACTACAATAGTTACTAACAAAATAGCAAACTTTTTTTTTGGAAATGGAAATTTCTAGCAGTGAGAGACCAGACTTATGTTTAAGATATTCTTAAGTTCGGTTTTCAAATTTGGGTTCATAGATTATAGATATGAATTTTGGTTCTTGTAGGTTTAGTGGATTCTGGTTGTTTCAATAGCGAACGTCATTTTTACCCATTATTAGTATGCCTATCTAACTTTTACATGTATATTATCTGTGTTTTTACCGATTCGTATAAATTTTTCTCTTGAGGTTCTCGTTTTCTAGTATTATAATATATAATAATCACATGCGAATCTACAAATCGATTTAAAATAGCCAATCAGGAAAATTTCTGTTTGTGTATATAAATCGGTCGAAAACGATACTTACTATAATTCCATTCATTTCTAGAAGTAGCATAAAATGTGCATGCATACGTAGCGATAGTATGTACGTACGTACGTACGTACGTACGCTTAGAAATTATTTCTAAATTAGCACATCTCTAACAGTAAATTGGATAGAACCTAAATCGATCGATATGTTTCGTCCCCGGTGACAGCTTTTACAAAAAAAGCATCAGTTAAATTATTTTCATGCGCATTTATGCCCATACATATTGATCTATATTCTTGTACTTAGCACCTGATAACCTTCCTTTCGTCCTTCAAAATCGTAAAACAGCTACTTTTGTCCTAAGAACTCTAAAAAAGATAAAAATATACCTGTCCTCATACGGGTTCCAACGCTGCTCCTATTGCCTCGGGTCGATTATCACAAATATTACGAAAAATGACGCAACAAGCTATAATGATGTAGTATTTACATTTCCAGATGGGATCACAGAATATTAGTATGGTATGGGTGGATGGTATGGGAGTGCACAGTCACAGTACCTATTTTTAAGGTATTTTACACCCCGTGCCAGACTGATCAGGTCACCCATCCATACTGATATTCGTATTACCTCAATGCGATTGGAGCAAATATGTGTGAACGTATGAGTGAAGGAAAGGAAAATCTGCAAATTGATTAACAATTGATTAACGACAATTGATTAACAATTGATTAACGACAATTGATTAACGACAATTGATTAACAATTGATTATCCCGTCGGACTAAGCTCATTATTACAGCTGTTCTCATAAATTTTGGTGATCATTCGGCCGAATTTGAATTCTGTGTTATTGGAATTATTGTAATGCCGAAAATCCAATGTCAATAATGCTGTAATACCGAATTCAAAAATTATCGAATTCGGCCGAAACAATTTTTATCGGTTGTCCTAGAATTTATGAGAACAGCTGTAAATGTAACCAAATACTGTAAAGTTGGTTGTTCTAGTCGCTTCGATAAGACGTGCTTTCTTTATCAAAATTGGAACAAAATTTTTACGAGAAATTATATGATCTTGCGATTCTTAAAAAAAGCAGATAACCAATATGTTCTAGAACTAATTAAATAGAATCAGATTCGGAATCCAATGAAGTAAAAGTTAATAAATCAATTTATAGGTTTTCCCATTTCGTCACTTATTTGCATCAACTTAGCTCAGTCCTTCTTTTTATTTGCTAAAGGACCGTGAATCAGCCAGGCGTTCCAAATGTTTGTAACTCAATCACCAAATTACTGAGTGTGATACAGGCACATCCTCAACCACATTCGATGTTTAAGTATTAATATTTTTCACGAAAAAAATCTATTTGTTTTAATAACATATGCGCCGATTTATGGAATTGGATCTTTTCTCAACCCTCTAAATTTATAATTTTGCACCCCAAATTATTAATCAGCCGATTATTTTTCACCCCAAAATTATTTATCTTTTACTCCAAATTTTCAAAAACAAATTTTTAAAACAAAAATTTTATATGTATAACCAATTGTCCGACCTCAAAACCAATTCTTCTTTTTCGGATTTACCTAAGTAAAAGTTAAAAAAGGTTGGTTGACTACAGAATGTATACTTATTAGTTTATTGTAAATTACTTTATACAAAACCCAGGTTTCTTGCATTTACTAATTTTAAAACCTATAATAGATTCCGGATCTAGTATGTCATTAAGTTTATATTATTAAAAAAAAATTTTAACATGTATATACACTTTATATTTAGAACAGTTAGTTTAAGTATTTAAAAAAAACAAGTTTGGTTATATTGGGTAGATAAAAAAATAACCAGATAGTAATCTTTATTCACTAATATATTATTGATAAAATTAAATCTTAGCAGATAGTAAAAAAGGTTACTGTTGGTTTAGGCCGCAGATAAACTAGTCTGAGCTTCTATTCTTTTTATAATTTTAAAAGTAGATTAATGCTTCATGTAACAATCTCAATTAAATATTCAAAAAGTTAGAAGCATGGCCTCATCATTAATATTAAAAAAAAACAAGGTTACTGTTCAATTACTTTTTATCCATCTAATGTAATTTGTATCTGGGTAAATTTACTATTATATATATATATTTATAAATAAAATAATTAAAATATACAAATATTTAACAAATTATTAGTCAAAGAAAATATTATATCTGTTAATATATATATTAATATATAATAAAAATTATAATAAAAATATATATATACTCTGATGATCACTTGTACCAAACTTATAGCTAATGAAAACAGAAACTTGTTGAAGAAAAGTAGAAGAAACAATTATACAATAATGGTTCTTATAGAGGTTAAGACTTTTGCATTTTACTTTAGACTTTTCTGTATATTCGGCATGCAAGTTAAAAAGGTTTTTGTACAAAATAACTGGTAAGAAGGTAGTGCTTTTATACAAAAAATTTTAATAGAAGTACTGTTTCTATGGATCTCCTTTAGTATAGGTAGGAAAATATAAATTATTACAAGATTATAATATATAAATCTAACTAATTTGAGCCAATTTAAACTCTAACTTTAACTCTAACCCTAATAATTTATAAAATTACTTAAATTAGTTTAAAATAGTTATGTTATATATATTATAATTGTATAATAATAAGGGTGTGGCGACTTAGTGAAATGGTCAAGTTGTTGCACTCCCAAGTGGCAAAACAAGAGTTCAAATCCCACTGGCGACGAA